AGCTTTCTCTCTTTCTCTTTCTCTCTCTCTCTTACAAAAATTGCATTGCGTTCGTTTGCAGTACACGCTACCACGCCGATCTCCCCTCCCCTCCCCTTCTCTCTATCTAGCAGTGATTCGCTCCGACGAATTATCGCGACGGCCTTACTTGCTGAAAGCCGTGTTGAGGGAAATGCAGTGATAAGCCCGTCGCAATTTCCTCAGCTATTGTAGCAGAAAAGTTGCTGTTGCTGTCCGTGATTGCTGCCTATCAGATCACGGTTTCTGGCGATTCTCAACCGACGTGCCGAGCTCAGCATCCCGCGCTGTGTTTCAGTCGCAGGGATGCTCGTTGATTAATACCAGTCACTGTTTTCCCTGTTCCCAATATTTTTTCTGAGAATTCCCGAACGATGCATTTGACTCCTTGCGCTAAGGATATATGAAGGAAGGAGATAGGGACTAATAACAAAACTTCCATCGATGCCTTCCGTCGTTCAGCGTGGTCCTTGTTACGCAATTCTTTTTGGCTTTACGCGTGACGCGTTACGCGTGTTTTTCGTGTGGCATGATTCTCTCGGTAGCGGTTATGTGTGTTTCGGTGTTGTGTGCGTGTGTTGTTAATTGGTGTGTTTTCGTGGTGGGTCGAAGCGCTGTCACAAGTTTAGGGAAACAATGTGTAGATCTGCGTTTGCATTGTTTTCTTGCGAGAAATTGAAACCAAGCGGGCAGTGATAAAGAGTTGAAAGATTTCGCATTATTTATTTCTGGGTACAATATTCCGAGGCGTTTGCTTCCGAAAGATGGGCGTTAATCTAGACCTGTTTACAAATTATTCGGTTCAGAGCTCGCAAGCAATATATTTTTGGTGGGCGCATTAAACTCGTCATTAATACTTTATCTAATGTAACGCGACTCTAATATTCATGCGTGCCTTTTGCATGATTCAAACGTATTATGAGGCAAGCGCACTCGAACAGTACCTGTAGCTGCGTGCGTAACGTTACACCGGGTTCCGAATGCTAAGCCACATTAAATTCACAAAACTCAAAGCACGCGATCACTTGGAAAACCTGCCACGATGAAAGGCCCGCGGATCGGGAAAATGCTTCTGTAAATAAGCATTAGTTAGCAGCATTGTAGGCAACATCAATCAATAATTCATCATAAAGGTATAGACACATTTCGCATTTACGCTCTCCGTGCTGTGTAGATACTGTTTCGCGATGGTATCTAGTTTTAGACACGAACTGCGCGCGCCGCCCAGATGCCAGCATAAAGGACCGCATCGATCAGTGGCGCTGCCGTCGCATGTGGCGTAGGTACGCTGAAATTTTGCATCCAGTACTGTAACTACCTCTCGTTTCGTATGTATATCACGGGAACGCACACGAATGCAGTGCTTTGCATGTGCGTTCGTGACTCGTGCGTGCGTGCGGTGAGTCTAGCCTTGCCTTCACTAGATCGATACGCGGCGTGCGTCCGTAGAAAATGTTTTTTTTTTCCTTCTTGAAAATACCTATAGGCTTTCTTCGCTTCGCGCGTGTTTTTTTTCGCACTCGGGTCTTTGTTAGTAAATCTTGCGCGTAAAATAATGCGTTCTCGCTCTCGCGCAGCGTCGTTCGGTGCAATCGCACAATACGCGTTCACGGAGATGCTGTGAGGAGTGAAGGTAGGCGCGTGAAAGACGGTGGGTACTCTGCAGGTATAGCGTGTGCGCGTGTCTTGCTGCGTTAAATCTTCTCTCTTTACTCGTACGGTTTTACGGACACAAATACTTGTCAGAAGAATACACTATATAATTCTATAAATATACACTATAAATAGACTATAATACAAAACACTAATAATACGCAATTCTCTCATCCACAAACATTTTCGACGTACCACCAACGTTTGTGTAATAACACTTCGATCGTAGAAAATCCGACGCGAACCTGCGCAGACGTATTTGGCTTGGCGAGATATGTGAAATCGTCGCTGCGTTATTTCTGTACCTTGGAGATTTCTAAGTCCCCGCGGTACTAACTATACCTGCATAAATAACCAGCGAAGGATATATGCTGCCTTACGTCTCGATCAGGATTCCGATATCGCAGTTTCTTTTTTCGTACATAAGGTAGACGCCTATCATCGTGTGTATCTTGGGTATTACGTGTCATTTCGAGCCGAAACAACGAAGCGCAGCGTAAAGCGTGTCGTGCGAGTGCGTGCATGTGCGCGCGCGTCTGTATGCGTGCGTGCGCGTTTACATGCGTGCGGGCATGTGCGTGCGCGTCTGTATGCGTGCGTGCGCGTTTGCATGCGTGCGGGCGTGTGCGTGCGCGTTTGCATGCGTGCGGGCGTGTGCGTGCGCGTTTGCATGCGTGCGTGCGTGTGCGTGTGTTATATCGCGCACGTATCGCATGAACATGCGCGTGTGCACAGAGCTGTGCGTGTAGACAACCATGTACCAGACGACGCAAGTACGCGTCTTTCTCGTCCGTTATCGTTGTCGTCGTCGTCGTTGTCGTCTTTGTCGTCCTTGTCATCGTTGTCGTCCTTGTCGTTGTCGTCGTTGTCGTCTTTGTCGTCTTTGTCATCGTTGTCGTCGTCGCGTACGTGACCGACGTAGACGTGTGTCACAGTTGTGGTCAGCTGACGGTGAGGACAGAGGCGCTGAGTTATAAATAGTTGAGGGTGCAGACAAGGCGCAGCTATCAGTCGAGAGAGAGAGTAACCGGAGACACGTACAGAGAGAGAGAGAGGTGGTTAAGAGGGAGGGATAGGGAGAAACGCAAAGTGGTAGAGAGGTGAGGAAGGAGAAGAAAGGGTGAGGGAAAGAGGAGAGTGAAACATAGAGAATGTGTGTGTGTGTGTGTGTGTGTGTGTGTGTGTGTGTGTGTGTGTGTTGTGTGTGGTGGTGTGGTGGGTGTGTTGTGTGTGTGTGTGGTGTGTGTGGCGCGCGCCTGCGCGCGCGCGCGGCGTGCGGTCTGTAGGTCGGTGTATGTGTGTAAGCGAGAAATGTGAGGTGCGAGTGCGAGGAGAAAGAACGGGTCACGTAAGCACTGTGGATCCCACTGCCGACTCCTATTCCAGTACACACTCCGCTCAGCGCTCTCGTCTCTCTCTCTCTCTCTCTCTCTCTCTCTCTCTCTCTCTCTCTCTCTCTCTCTCTCTCTCTCTCTCTCTCTCTCTCTCTCTCTCTCTCTCTCTCTCCTCTCTCTCTCTCTCTCTCTCTCCTCTCTCTCTCTCTCTCTCTCTCGCTCTCTCTCTCTCCTCTCTCTCTCTCTCTCTCTCTCTCCATGCATACTATTTTCTACCAGCGCGTCGGCGACAATATTGTCTTGTTTATGCGTTTGTTGCGTTGTGGCTATTCGTTCATGCCGGGTGGGTTTTTCCGCCGGTGTGTTCCGCGACCCACGGTGTGCAATGCGGCATGAAGAGAAATAAAAGAGAGCTAGTTGCGCTCTGTGTGCTGTGCGTGTGTATACAGAGGTTGCGTGGGGGTGCGCGGCAGGGGCCGCAACTCTACTTCATGTTTCATGCATTTGCAGTGAAAAGAAACGCAGTTACGGAAGGAATGTCCAGAAATTGTTGGGGAGTTTGCGCGCGCGAGCATAAGTATGAAATATTCATCGCACACATTTTGATCATTTGTAAGAAAGGTCGTCGATGCCACGTATATATAATACGTAATCGTCCCTAGAATCTAGGTTGTCGTGCGCGGAGAAATCGGAATGTCACTCGAGCACAAAACACGTGGTGTCACACTCAGGGAGGTATTTACCACAAGACTTCAGTCGCAGTAGTTCGCCGTAGTCGTGGGGTTCCTTTCTTCGCACAGACATAAACTGTGATACCATGGTGTGATCTCGCTCGCTACAATACCATTCATTTGCGATGTTCACTTGATTTCCTTTTAAAAATCACGGTGATGGATATTATCGATAATCACGAGAGAAAAAATGGCGAAATGCATTACACACGGACACAGTTATACCTACATTAGCATCGATCGCATTTCCGACAATGAAATGTGCGTCATCTCTGCGTAGTTACGATTTACGACACCTCGTACATGCGCACCAAGGAGCGTATATTACTATAAGCAGACTACAGACAATACATTGCCTCACTAATGCACGCTCGTCTCTGCAGGCGTCTTTAGATTTTTATTATTTCCATTCGCACCATTTTTCGAGGCGTCTAGTTATACTAACACTCGTAGACGTTAGTCATTGTATTCCTTCCGGCAAATATGGTTTCTAATTACTGTCCCGCAGTCGAAACCCGCATTTACCCTCCACGAGATTGATTTGTCTGCGTTCGTGGCTGCCTGTACATCGCTCGTAAACTAAAGCACCCGCAACGTAATTGCTGTTGGAAATTTCCGCAAGTTGATTTGCGTATAATTATAGAATGGTTTACTCGCTGGCAAGTTCTTTTAATTAAGATTTCATGCGACCAATCACCCTGGCAGGTACACAACCAGGCCGACAATTTCTCCTGTCTACCCGCAACCATAAACAAATTGTTTGTCGCGCTTAAATAATAAATATAAACAATCGCGATGGTTTTTCTTCGAGTTTGCATGAAGGTGTCTGCGTGTGCGCGATCTTGACAATGAATTTCTCATGCGCACTGCGATTGAACTCTGCTGTAGAAAAGAGTCTGTTAGCGGACGCGATGACGGCGTTTGCTGGCAGCACATTATCTCCCAACGCTCTGCCTGCGACACGTTTGAGCTGGATCAAGCTGCATTAGCACGTACCGTCCGTCACTCTAGCAGTGAGCTAACACGGAACCCGTAGAAGCACTCCGCGCGTTTCACACTCCAGCCATAATTCATGTCTTCAGCAGATGCAGTGTATGTGTATGTAGTATGTGGAAGGTGTAGCAAATGCAGTGTGTGTGTGTGTGTGTGTGCGTGCGTGCGTGCGTGCGTGCGTGCGTGCGTGTGTGTGTGTGTGTGTGTGTGTGTGCGTGCGTGTATGTGCACCGATGTAGCCTCTATAAGTCTACTTCGCTGTTCATTGCAGGTTGCGTCAGGAGCTGAACGGTGGTGCGTGGTGTCCGGCGAATCTCATCATCAAAGATTCGTACGAATACCTCGAGATCAACCTTGAAGGTCCGAAGGTCGTCACCGTTATCGAGACTCAAGGTCGTTTCGGTAACGGTCAAGGTCAGGAGTACGCGGAGTCGTACAGACTGGAGTACTGGCGGCCGGGAATGGACAAGTTTGTTCACTTTCGGAATCGGAACGGGGAGGAGGTAAGCGATTAGAATCCGGATGTGATGCCATCAGTAGTGAGTAGTGTGACTGTGTATAAATAAATAAATATATATATAGATAGATATATAGATATGTATATGTATATATATATATGTCTATATCTATATACATTATACACTCCTGATGTCATATAGGCGCCTCACGTTCGTGCTGGCTATTAATTAGTTAGCGTCTAATTATAAACGCGCACGTATGACTTATCACGAATGCACTCACGTATTTTTTACCATGCTTGCCGCTGCACGGATAATTTGAGTCGATGCTAGTGCGTTATGTCGGATTAGGGTTAAGGTGTGTGATCTGAAATAACATATAAAGGCAGATATAACCAAGAGCTTATAATACATATATTATAATACATTACAATTAATTAACACAGCTGATAATACATTAATGATGATACATTAATTAACATTACATTACATTACAATCAAATACATATATTAAATACATTACGATAATTAACAACATAACATTGCTACTAATAAACCATGTATTATAATAATTACCATTAATTACATACATACATACATAACTTAATCATCCTATTATAATACATACCATAATTACCCATAACTGCTTACATAATTAATAATACATGTATTATAATACATTACAATTAATTAACATTACATTACATTGCATAACTAATAATACATATATTATAATACATTACAATTAATTAACACATAACATTGCATTACATAATTAATAATACATGTATTATAATACATGTATGATTTATAGCTCATGATATAACGGTAGCATATACCGTGGCTGGAGCGGCTACCGGCTGCTCTAACCTCCCACGTACACAGCCTTACAGGTATCCGTAAACTACCTTAGGTCGTTAGCGTGTTCTATTTCGATCGTTACTGTATTGTCATGTTGTTGCATAATTATGAAGGAGTAGAATTGCATTTAGGCGTACACAAGCAGTCCGTGCTACAGATGTATACTCGTCGTTCGACGTTGGCGCCTGTATTATAAGAGATGGAATATGACGCCGTATAGAAAAGAACGTATCTCACAAGCCGCGAGTCCCACTTCCTGCCTAATGCACTTCCGGTCAGGATCCTGTTCAGAACGTCGCCTCGTTAACCCCACGCGTGCGTCACGCTCGTGTAGCAGCTGCTCGTTTACGCGGGTTCCGTGAGATGGAAAATTCGCGAAGACACGCTGGAAACTCATTTCCCAGCCGCCGACAAAACGTAGGTTCTCGAAATGCGAGTTGCCACCCGTTGTCCGTTAACACGTTAGCAGAAGCAGTAACATTTCGTTAATCTAGACAAATTCGACGCGGTTTCCAGCCGTGATATTTGGTCGAATTGTCGAAAGGGCGGCGACGTTTCTACCTTAATTATCAGCATTTACGAGCCGGCAACTTCTATAACATCCTGGCGTTAATTATTATTCATTATTGTCATAATCATCGTCATCATCATCATCATCATCATTATCATCCTCATTTTTCATTAGAATCTTTCTTTTCATATAGAGCCAGGTACTACTCGACAACGTGTGTGTAGATCACCAAGCATTCACTGTATAACATACGCTATATAACACACCGCACTCCTAATCTTATGTAACACATTACGCACATGATGTCATGGCCACGCAAAAACACATTTACGCGTATGCTTCTGTCGAGGTGATGCTAGAGCTATAGGTCGTGTTCGCTGTAAAACGTTCATCTTCCCCGCACATAATTCTGGCGTATTGCACACGTATATTCACGATAACTCATTCGGCGCACGTATTTATCATTCGCGAGAGCCGATGCACAGCGACAGAGATTACGTTCCTCCGCTTGGTCGCTCTACTTTTTCCCGTTCTCATTTTCCTTCCAGTGGGGATTACGCCTTTCGTGTATAGATTTCGGCGAGATCACCTCCCATTCTCGCGCTCGTGCGTGGCAGATTGCCTGCTCGCCGTATTGTGTCGCCTCTCCTCGTCGTCTCTGTCCGGTTCCATTCCCAGGTGTCCGTCCCTGGATGCAATCTTATATGACCTGTGTATATCGGCGCGTGATTTCTTCGTTTAATTTGACATTTGCCGTACGGATTGCTGTCACTGCATGATTGCATTGCGGCGGGCAATCTAGCGAGAAATATTACATCCATAGCGGTGCAGCTGCCCGCGTTGAGGCTCCTCTCTCTCTCTCTCTGTCCTCTGCTCTCTCTGTCTGCTTCTCTCGTCGTCATCATCTCTCTCTCTCTCTCTGCTCTCTCTCTCTCTCTTCTCTCTCTCGTCCTCGTCGTCTCTGCTCATTCTCTCTCTCTCTCTCCTCCTCAGCTCTCCTCTCTTCTCTCATGTCCTCGCTCTCTCTCTACTCGTCGCTCCTCTTATCTCTATACTCTAATCGTGGTCTCCTGCGCTCTCCCTTTCCCTCTCTCGCTCCTCGCTCATCATCGACTGCTCTGCTCTCTCTCTCTCTCTTCTCTCTCTCCTGCCCCATCCTCTCCACTCTTTCTCTCTCTCTCTCTCTCTCTCTCTTCTCTCCACTCTCGCTTCTCTCTCCTGCTCTCTCTCTCTCTCTCGCTCTCTATCTCTATCCTATCTGTCTCTCTCTCGCCTCT